GCCAACTCTGCAGTTCAAGTCCTGGACCTGGCAACTTTAAAAACATGCAGGGTATGTGTGCAAACATGTCCAAAATCCCAGGAGGGGAAGATATTGCAGCTATCCCCCCTGGAGGGGTCATTTCTCACTTTTTTTCTCTCTGGCAAGTGCCTGTGCCCCATGGCAAAAAATATATCTAAAAAACAACAAATCATGGAGCAACAGGAGTTAGGGAAATATGGATGCTAACAGAGCAGCAGCGTCTTTCCTGCTTGGATTGTGGATTGTGGATTTTTTCCCCATGACTCCAAAGTTTTTGGTTCTTGAATATTTATTCCTCTTGTCCTTCCTGGGGGTGGGGGTCAGGGACGAGGAATAAAAGAAAATCTGTTTTGCGTACCCAAAATCCTGAGAGGAGAATGAAGGAAAAGTGATTGCAGTGTGGCTAACCCCCCCCCCCCGGAGACAGAAGTGATTTTGCACTTTCTTTCTGTCTCTTGACTAGTGCACGCGACCTATGACAAAATCTCTCTCAAGGGGAAAAAAAAAACCTATTGGAGTTGGACTGCAATGCCAGATTTCTACAGAAGATGTCGCTATTTAACAAGATTTACAGGATAAAACATTTCAGCCTGATTTCACTCTTATCTAAAGCTTCAAGTTTTGTACATTTTTTTTCTTTTTGCCAGTAATCAATTTTCTATAAAATGCTGAGTTTTAAGTTAATTAGAATAAGGGATGCCTACTGTTCTACAATGAAAAGTAATATGCATTTTTTCAAGTTTATTCATTTCTTCAGAAATGAGACAGATAGACGGCACCCCAAAATGATCTTGATGCCATGATCCAACCCCACCTTTAGCTAGCCCTGGATCATGGGCACATGTGTGCCCAGTATACTCAGGGATGTCTCTGGACTTGAACTTGGAACCTTCCCATGTGGATCAGCCTGCAGTGTTGTGTTTTACCACTGCACCGTTGTCTAGCTCCAAAGTTTTTTTTGATATCAGAAGGCATATGTTTAGTTTCTAATACCAAACAGTGTATATTGACTTATATGTGTTCTTAAAAAATAACACTCCAGGGACCAGCAGGTGGCATGGTGTTTAAGGCACTGGACTCCCACATGACTGACTATAGTTTGAGTACCTGACCTGGTGGCTTGAAAATCATACCAGGCACATGTGTGTGCATGCCCAAGGTCCTGAGAGGAGAATGGAGAAGGAGGAATTGCGATGTGGCCATCTTCCTGAGGGCAATCTCCCTCTCTCTATCTCTCTCAAAGAAAAACTCCATAAAAATGCACGCATGTATAGAATATAACAACAATAGAAGTATATATGAATAAAAAGTCTCATTATCCCAATCTTACTACTCAGAGGTAATTGCTGTTATATATGTATTTTTGTTTGTTTTTGCCTGAGGACATGTGTCCTCACCAGGGAGAGACAGACAGAAAGCGAGAGAGAGAGAAAGCAAGAACATACCCTCCCCATGGAGAATGGTCATGCTGCAATCCTTTCTCCTCTGTTTTTCCCTCCTTTCAGGATTTTTGACACACATTCATAAATTCTCAGTGTGTTTTTCAAGCCAATGGGTCCGGTACTCCAATCACTTAGTCAGCCATGTGGAATTCAGCTCACATAACCACCAAGCCATGCGTCAGCCCCATATATATTTTTTCAGGCAGACCAAACATGGTTTCATAGGCAACACGTTGTTCTAGGTTTTTTTTTTTTTTTTTTTGGAGAGATTTTTTGCTATAGGGCATGTATACTCCCTAGAGAGACAGACAGAAAGCAAGAAATCACCCCCTGGGGGGTTGGCAACACCATAGTCCCTTCTCCTTTATTCTCCTCTAGGGATCTTGTGCATGCATATGCATGCACCTGGCATGAATTTCAAGCCACCGGGTCCAGAACTCAAACCACAGTCGACTACATGGGAGTCCAGTGACATAACCATTACGCCATCTGCTGGTCTCCTACTAGGTATTTTTTTGGGTGGGTGGGGGGGAGGTTTTTTGCTATAGGGCTTGTGCACTCGCCAGAAAGACAGAGAGAGACAGAAAGATGAGTTTAAGTCGCTGGGTCTGAGACTAGAACTGTGGTCGACTACATGGGAGTCCAGTGACATAGCCATTACGCTAACTGCTGGTCCCAACCCTACTAGGTATTTTTAATTAGCATTGTTCCATGTCAATGTGTCTTAGATTGTCAGATTCTTTTTTTCTTTTTTGTTTGTTTGTTTGTTTGTTTTTGCCATAGGGCACATGCACTCACTCACCAGAAAAAAAGAGAAACAGAGAGAGACCAAGAGAGGAAAAGTCGGAAATCACCCCTCAGGGGATATGGTCACACCTTCCTCTTGGCATCTTGGGCATGTATACATGTCTGGCGTGATATTCAAGCCACTGGTTCCAGGACTCATACTGTGGTTGGCCATGAGGGAATCTAGGTGACTTAACCACCACACCATCTGCTTGCCCTGGCCCCCTTATTGGTTTTTTTAAACTTTATTTCTTGGGAGGGAAGAAGGTATGGGGTAGCAGAGACCCTGACAAGTCTTACCATACTGCAGTCTTCCCACCAGCTTGCCAGCCAGTCAGCCAGCCATGATTTTGATGTACCCTGCATATTCAGGTAATATGGGATCCAGACCCAGGGCTATCCCATGTGACTCCAGTTTTGTGCAGAGGTGTCCTACTGCCTGCACTGCTATAGTTGGGCCTAGATTACCAGATTTGTTTTTTTAAAGAGAGATTTTTTGCTATAGGGCGTGTATGTCTCTGTCTCTGGAGAGACAGAGACAGAAAGCAAGAAATCCCCCGGTGGGAGGATGGCCATGCCTCAATCCCTTCTGTGTTCTCTCAGCATTTCGGGCATGCACGCACACATACCCAGTGTCAGTTTCAAGCTGCCGGCTCTGGGACTCAAACCATGGTCAACCATGTGGGAGTCCAGTGATGTAGTCATTACCTGCTGGTTCCACCAGATTCTTTTTAATTGCTGCATGTTATTACATAGATGAACTTAATGAATTTAAACAGTTCCCTATTAGTAGATATGGTTCGTTTTTATGAATAATTGATACAGCGAATATCCTTGAGTGAACTTTTCTATACTAGTGAATTTTTTTTTTAAACTGTATCCTGCTTTATTAAAGATACTTTTCATAAACAATCACGGTATTTCAGGCAGGATAATATACTAGTGAATGTTTTTGTAGCCTTGATTCCTGGAAGAGAGATTGCTAGGTCAAATGGAAAGCATAATTACAATTATAATCAGTGTTGCTACATCATTTTCAAAAGAGGTTTTACCAACTTACACCCTTACAAATGAGCGCTTGTTTCTCTTCAACTTTTCTTAAGTTTGAATGTTTTTCTAAGCTTATTTATTTATTTCTTTAGAGAGAGAGGAGAAAGAGATTGGCTCCCACCAACAAAATCCTTATATCATGATCCAGCTCCAGCCAGAACCATCATGGGCATGTACATACACAGCATGTTTAGGGAGGCCCCAGAACAGGAGCCCTCAAGCTTAAGTTTTGTCTGTGTGAATAGGTAAACAGAATCACAGTGTTTTAGTATTTGTTTTTCAGATAGGTATATATGTTGTGGCCATCTCTTCTGTAAATTGCCTGTTTGTATTTGTTTTCCATTTTTATATGGGATCATATTGTTAGAGCCCAGCATGTAATAGGAATACTGTCACAGATCTTTTCATTCATTTTGGGTTTATTTAAAAAATAATTATTTATTTAATTTTATTTATTATTATTATTTATTTTAACCAGAAAGAGAGAGGAAAGTGAGAAAGCAAGCCACCTGGTCTGGGCCTCGAGCCATGGTTGGCCATGTGGAAGTCCAGCACCTTAATCACCATGTCACCTGCTGGCTCCCATGCTAGGTTTTTAACCCTAAGAATGTGAAAAAAATTAGTACATACTTTCTCTCAGTCCATTTATGGCTTTATTTTTTTACATTTAGATTTTAATACATCTGGAATTTATTTTTGTGTATGCTGCGAGGTAGGGACTGTACTGTATTTTTTTTCACAAATGGATAACCACATTAAAGCACCACATTAAATAATTCATTCTTTCCTTACTGACTCGAAATACCATCTGTATCATATACTAAATCCTCATGTATTTCTGGGTCTGTTTCTGGGCTCTAATTTGTTTCTGATCTCTTTTGTCAATTACTGTGCTGGTACAGCACTGTTCTAATTACTGTAGCTTTGTAGTGTGGCTTGCTCTGGTAGGGCAAGTCTAATCTCTTTCATTTACCTGCTTCCCTCCCCCCCCCCCCCT